TTTTTTTTTTTTTTTTTTTTTTTTTTTTTTTTTTCTCTGAAAGAGTGAAGGGCTGAATGGAGCTCTTTGGTTTGTAAGCCTGAGCCTACATCACCCATCAGTGTAATATTAAGCCAGCTGGATGCTCCTTTCATCCATTCATAAAGCACAATCAGCCATACAACAGGCTTCCTCCCGTGGACATGTCTAAAGGGAGGGTGCTTGGCCACGCTGCATCACCCTGATTTAAACCGCTCCAGCCCTGCTGTCACTAGGGGACCTTCTCAGGGGCTGCAGTGGCTTCCCAAGCACCTGCTGTGTGGCTGCTCTTGCCTGTGCTGGGGAGCTCCCCTTGTGCTAGGTGGTGGCCAGCTGCTCAGGAGGGGCTGTTATTCTGGGGTGTACAAATGGGAAATTGAGTCATGGAAGGGAATTGACTTTTTCTGTTATATCAGAGCCAGAGAATCTACAGCACGATTGGAAAATGGGTTCAGTTCTCCCAAACCCTAGTGTATAGACTTAAGGAGTTGATTTGATGAAATGATGAAAAGGTGATTTCTTTCTGATGATGCAAAGGTTCACTCTATGTTCATAGCAAGGCTCCCATCACCAATATGCTATGTCCCAGGTGATGAGAAAAGTGCCTTGCCCCGGGTGGTGAAGATAGTGGAGGTAAAATGAAATATTCCCAGGCAGGGCACGTGTTTCCTCTTCCATGTCTGCAAGGGAAATCCAGAACCATTTTGCCATGCATTGTCTCTGCTGTTGGAAATCTGGCAGGTCTCATCTCCCAGAGAGCGTGTCTCTGTGTAAGAACTTCCCCTTTTAATCCTGGGAAGCAGATATCTTGTGGGATAGCTCATACTAAAAAGAGAAAAGGAAACTCAACAGCTGGAAGTGACAGGAGGGAGGTTTCCGGCGAGCTGCAAAATCCCAAGGCTTTCTTGCTAGAGCTGAGAAAGCATCTGAGGAAGGAGCTGCTTGCTCTAATGCCATTCTCATTAATCACATTGCAAAGAAAGGAAATCAGAGAAAATCATTCAAATTACAGATGGCTAGATTAGGTAATTAGAATTTAGGCTAAAACAGATGTTTGTAATTAAGTGTTTATGTCATTGAATAAAATCCAGATTGTAAAGTCTATTTCACAGGATTTTAATGGTTTTAATTCTCTGTATTATGTTTTGGGGGCAAAGATACAGATGATAATATTTTAGGAAGAAGAGAAAAAAAAACACATGGCAAAACTCAGACTAGCCAAACCTGTTCATATTTCCCTGGAGATCAGTTTACCTTTAAACATGGCCTTTACGTGGGAGATTTCCGTAAATAAAAAAATAAAGTGGGATCTTCCACTCAACCATGCTTAACCTGCTCTTAGTTTCCAGAGTGGTAGAACTGGTGTTGGGAGGGAGGCGTGCTGCATCCAGCAAGGAGCTGCAGCGTACCGAGGTAGAGCTCAGGCACCATCCCTGCTCCCGAGGCACAGGGCATCAGGGAGCGTTAGTTGTCTTAAAGACACTGGTGGGAATGGTCCTGCCAGCTGATGTGTGCAAGGGCTGGAGATCTGTTTTATTGACCCTTTCTAGTTGGTGAGTTGTTCCCGGGGCTTTGTGTCACAGTTGTACCCTGCAGCACCTCCTTAGTTCTCGGGTACAGCGTCTCCTCGTGCAGCTGACTGGCGTGCCGAGGGGAATGGAGCAGCAAGCCCGTCTGCCCGGCCCACCATCTGCTCCCTTGTCTGGAGCCTTGTTCTGATGAGGCATCCATCAAGTGGCAATTTTTATCAGCAACTTACATTGTCAAGAATTAGGCTTTGGGCGCAGAGGGAAGTCCCCCGCGACCCATGAACCTGCAAGTGGAGGACCACCACGGAGCTTACCAAGTCTTTCATGTGCAGCCTCTCACGGAGCTCTTATATTGCAGAGACGGTACGAAAACAACAGGGATCTGCACAAATCAGATGATGCACGCAAGGAAGAGAATCAATTTGTTAACAGGCAAATTGGCTTTTTGTGACAGAGTGACAAAGCTGTGGTTTAAAATGAGAACATAAAAGTAGTGAGAGATTTTATAGGCGACATGAAGAAAGTTGAGGCGATGTACACGAGAGCAGTGACAGATCCCCCTTGCTGAATCTGCCTAAAGAAAATTAAAAAGGTGCTGCGTCCAGCTCTCTCTCCACTCCTCTGCTGAAGGTTACGGCCCCAAGGCATGAGAGACCATGTGGCTGCTCTGCATCTGTTCCAGTGCAAAGTTAAGCAGCTGCGCTTACCTGAGCCTGCAGGAAAGCGGAGTGGATGTGCTAACATGACCCCGTGCTCATCTGAACTTTCTGGGCTGCAGGAGATGGCTGGAAGGAGCGAGCTTGTGTTAACCCCCCCAGTTAACCTTGTGAGAAGACACTACTTGTCTACCTACAAAAGCAAGAGAGACCAAAGAACCCAGAAGAACTGCTGCACTCCAATGCTATGTAATTGTGAACGGTTTCCTCTACAGAGCCCGCATCCCAAATTACCTTGCCGTGTTGAAGATGATTTATTAGCATTACTGAGTGAATAGTGGCAGAGGGAGGTGGCCATTGGGTAGGTGGTGCAGGGCAACAGAGCAAATGCTGCATTGGGTTGAGGTGAGAGACAAATGGGAGAGCGGCAGTGCTGCTGGCAGGGCGTTGCAGGTAGCGATGGAGCAGGACGATCCCACACCAGTGACCATAGGAAGATGTGGAGTGCCTTGGAGGATTTCGATACCAGAGGAGAGAGGAGTGAATAGAGCGAAGGGCATGAACCTCCCTAGGTCTGAGTCCTGGTGGCTGTTCAAGAGAGATGGAAAGGGGAATCAAGGTAGGTCTTTAAAAGGAGGTGCACGGGTCTTTTTACTTGCATGTTGCTGTGTTTCCAGGCTCCCATGTGTCCAGGTGCCACGTTCCAAGGCCCATGAAATTCAGAGGCTGGCATAGGAGCCTGGTTTTGAGCCCAGTGGGGCAGGGAATGGCTGGCATAAATGATAAGCAGGACCAGGAATGGAAGTGTGGTGCTTCTGAGGAAAGTTGTGATTTTATTTTTTTTTTTTTAATAAAGGGAAGAGGTATGTTGAGAGTATGGGAGGGACTCCCATTCCCTACCAAGAAGACTTGATCCTGTGCATCACAACCCCCTCCCCAAGCCCTAAATTGCTTGAAATCATAAGGGGGCTGCCAGAAATCCTACCAAATTGTTCGAGGCTAAGGAGTAAAATATTCCAATCAATAATGTCAAATGCTTCACTAAGATCTACAAGTCTCTTGCTCGCCAGCTAATAAGCGATCATTAACTGCTCAGGGAAAATGGAAATGAAAACCTGACAGGAGACAATTAAAAATACTGGGTCAATATTCTGACTTGGTATGAGATGGTGAAACTTTGTGGTCACAGGGGTTGCATTTGCTCTCGTAATGTTTTTGTTTGACCAACTGGTATTAATATGGTTCCTGATTCAGGAAAGCAATTGCTAATCATGTATGGTATGCTGTAACCTGAATGGGATTCGGTCCACAGTTAAAATTAATTATATGCTGAAGAGCTTCATGGACCAGGGGCCGAGGACAGGACAGGGTGGAGAGGTCCTATTAGGAAAAGAACTGGTATCGAAGGTAGAAAAGAAAGGTAGGGAGAAGGATATATCAGCTCCTTTAAGAAGCTCTGGAAAATGCTTCCCAGGAAAGTAGTGTTTAGGCCACACATGAATACTAAGCAAAAAAACATAGCAGACTTACCCCCGAACAGAAGGGAAGAAGTGCAGGAGAGAGGCTTGCTGCTGTTGCAAAGGGAACTGTGGTATCTCATAGCTGAGGCAGGATAGGAAACAGGATTCCCCCCATTTCTGTTCCCACTCTGCCACCAATTCCTTGTGTGTCCTCAGGCCGCTCAGCTCCTCCGGTGTTACAGTTTACCTCCTGCAAAATAGCTGTAATAAAACTTCATAGCTCTGGAGCCAGTCAATCCTTATTATTAGCAGAAAGCTCTCAACATATATGACCAAAGGTGCTGCCTGTTGCATGGAATACTGGTCAGATGCAAGACTGACAGATGCCAGTTAAGTTGCTCAGTGCTCACTGGAGAGTCCCCAGATGCTACTTGTGTAAAACAGATTAAACTGATATGTGCAGGAGGAATGTAGCAGAGCAAATATGAGTCTGTACCAGGGTTGGAAAAGTGAGGAGTTACTGGTGCCATTAGACTGCTGTTTGGGGTTTTGCTAGCATTAGGCTGGAATCATGCCTTTTAACTCATGCCAGCTTGTACGTTTTAAGGTTTTGTGCTGCTTGTTAACTCCCTAATCCCGGGCCATTGTGGTCAATGAGGTCTTACCGCTGATCTGAGTAAGATCAAGTAGGGTTAAGTCTGTCTCACTCTGTTCCAATTAGTAATGCAGTCGAAGCCAAAGGTTCATTGGGGTGATTGAACTGGGCGAGATTGTCCCTGCAGGGCCACTGGCAGAAGTGAATAAACCTAATCAGGCTTTGGGAGGAATGGGGGATGTGGATACTGCTGAAGGGCTGTAAGTCACAGACAGGCTAGAGACTGAACCCGTTGCAGGGAGCTGGGATGGTAAGAGGATGCTCTCAGAAGTAGCCATGAGGAAAATGTAGCCTTGATAGTAATGAGCTGCAATGGCTTAATTCCAGCAGGGTCAGGAGGTGACAATAATTAAAAGTGAAATCTCAGTCACAACAGTGAACACGAGAGAGCGAATGGCTGATTATTAACTAGAGCAAAAAACATCGAAATGGTTGTGCATGGGTGAAAAACATGGTTTGTGAGGCTTGATGGACAAAGGAATCTGATTAAAGGCAAACAAAGCAAAGATGAGGAGGAGAGGGGACGAGCTCTGTGATTCTGGACATGGCTTCAGGAATG